ATCAGCCACACGAGCACCACGGTAGGACAAGACGCCGGGGCCTCTAGGACGCACTGGAATGTAAGCCGGCCGACTCCCTGCATTCGGGGGCGGGAGGGGGTGTGGTGTTGTATTGAAGTCAATTGCACCGCAGGCATGCCCCCTGCCCACAGTGCGATCGCCCGCACCCGGAACGCAGGCACATTAGTGCCTGCATTCCAGTCCAGTGTGATCTGCCAAAAAAAGTGCTTGCAGCATTTTTGCGGATCGCACTGGACTGGAACTCAGGCACTCATGTGCCTGGGTTACGGTTACAGGCGATCGCACTGTGGGCGAGGGGCCTGCCTGTGGTGCCATTGACTTCAATGCACTGCCACGCCCCCTCCCACCCCTGAATGCAGGGGTTTTTTCATTGGTAGATCTCATTGAGCTGGTCATTTGAAAAGTAGATCTCCAGACGAAAAATTGTGGGCGCCCCTGATCTAGAACAACATAGCTGATTTGGAAAAATGATCCAATTCAGCTCACTTTCCAGTTCAGCTATGTTGTCCTAGATTGTTCACTTCTCCTGCCTTCTCCAAACTCTTCAGCCTTTAGTGAATAACCCTGACAGTTTTTGTTCCACTGTATCTATGTTAGAGATAATTTTCCTCACTAGCTGTCCTGATGAAAACATTGTCACTGGCACAGTAAAATCTTCCAAACAGGGCCTCAAACCTACTCTGTCTCTAAAAGAGATATACTTTAAAGTGCATGTTTCCTTCAATATGTTGTGTATATACCATGCAGGCTTGTCTGCTAAGCCTCGTCCCTCTGATGAAGTACTGTATATGATAATCCATTAAATGCCTCAGCTCAATAATTTTTACGTGCTGAATGATGCCATACAAAAGGAAGTATTTATCTGGATGAGCTTCAAAATATTATCTGTGCAGCAAGTAAAACTATCTGTCTTTTTTCACTATTCTCTAAAACTGCTGTGTACAGTATGTGCTACATACTCATGGGGGAATTAGCAGTCATTGTAAAAAAAAACTCTTTAACCACCTCCCATCCACCAAAAGTAGGAAAATGGCCGGATAGGAGCCTTCTAGATGCAGGTGGGTGTCTTAAAACATCCTTTGTGCCCCTGCCCGCTTAAAGCTGGGTACACATGGTTAGAATTTTGTTTAAAAGAAATAATTTTTGGAAACTTTTTGTTCAATGAGTGTAACACCAACACCAGGTAAGGCACTCTCCAAATGATTCAAGGAGGGTTCGGAATTGTAGGACATTATATACCGTAGTTTTAAAGGGGTCTGCTTGCGACACTCCACAGTGTATTACCTCATACACCACAATGGAGCATGCACAGCTATTAACTGAAATACTTCAAGTATTCTGACTCCGATTGTTGTGATAGCGATATATATCCCTTGTTGAGACCTCTATGCCTGCCCTGTATAAGCAGATTCAATCACTGAGGACAATCATTGTCAGATAGCTGAACTCACCAATACCGTTTCATCCACAAGGGTTGCTTTATTCTGTACATCAGACAACAGGATACAGCAGATGGATGGTTTTCAGTATTATGCGGTCAAAAGATGATGCCTTTCCTAGCGTACTGTGCAGAATACACGTGTCCCTGTTACATGTGGCCTGTTAGCTGTGGCCATGACACAGGAAGTACTGACCAACAAGAAGGGTGGAGCATTATACAAAGGAAATGTGTCATCGACATCAGGAAAAGAACATTAAAAACATGTGCATTACCACAAAAGGGTCACTAGATGGCAGCATAGGGACTAACAATAAAATAGCTATAGGAAAATGGTTTAGGGAAAACACTATATAAGTTCTATCTAACATTAACTTCTATGCCCCATTGGGGAGGCACATCAAGTGTAACGCACTGTAACAACTAAATAAGTATAGGAAGTCTCTAAAGAATTGTAACAAAGATCATACTACTAATGTCTTTATTCAACCTCAAATACTATGTAACTATGTAAGATCATGCCATATAGATGAGAATTAGTGCGGTAACAATCACCATGTATTATCCTGTGCCAGGAACGACATTTCTACAAATTATCGCAGCAGCGGCTGAATGAGGGAGGAAGACATATATGTTTCAGATTAAGATGGCTCCCATAACTCTTTGTAGTCCTTTGGCGAATGTACATATAGACACATTAACCCCTGGTACTGTTTAGGGGTACAATGGGATCCACAGTTCTGCAGACTTGCATGTATACCACAGGATTACATGAGATACGCCAGTACAACAAGGGTACAGACACAGTCCTTATAAACATAGTTTGCTACGTGCGGTTTTAGAGGAAGACCCACTCATGGATCGTAGTCTGCTCTCAGGCTGCTTGCAGTGAAGAGATGGCAGCAAGGGAACTTCCTGTAGTGAGGACCGTAGAGGCAGCAGGAGCCGGCGACAGAGGAGACTCAGTGTTCCGGGCTGTGAGCGAAGGCAGACACCACAGTGAGTGATTGCTCGGCATTCACAATATTAGTGGAACGCCAAGGAATCAAAACTCTGCGGCTTTATTGGGGCAGCTGACGTGTGGCCATTGAGACCAGCGCTGGAGCGTCCCGAGGTGAATTTGTTACAATGAGTGAGTGTGGTTTTCATTAAGGAAACTAAATTTATTCCAAAATTGAATGTTAAAATCAAATGAAATTTCAAACAACATTATGCAAGCCTCCGATTGAACTATCGGATGGTATGATAAGATTTCTCATATGAAAGTTCATGCAAAAATCTACCAGTGTATATCCAGCTTTACACACATTTTCTCTGCCTGCTGAGTTTGTTTCTCTTGTTCTGGCACATATGCTTTGTTAGTTATGCAGTTCAGCTCGGTGTTTTACAGTATATTTGGTGATGAAAATGACACAGCACATACTTTGAATGTGCTACATACAGGGGTTACATTATTGAAAGGCTAAAATGCTGTTCACTTTGCAACAGAAGTTTCCCTTAGCTTAGTGAATACCCAATTATGAGCAAGGAAAATAAAAAAAAAGCAAAACAGTATTTTTGATTGCACATGATTGAATGATAAAAATCAGCAGACTTTTACATCATTTACTAAGCTAAGGAAAAATGCCCTTTCAAAGTGCAAATTACCTGGCAGTGAATTGCCTATTTGCCATTAGTAAATTAACTCCTTAATGTCTAGACAGGTTAAAAAGTTGGAGCTAAATGGTCCATGGTTATTCAGACACAAGAGCTTCTCAAGTGATATTGTCATCATTATGTTCATCCTTTGAGAATGGTAATGGGCTTCACTGGTATTTTTTATGTATTAACGTATGCTTATGTATATAGCATTTGGTTAAAATAATGTAACTTAAAATCCCACTTATCTAGCCTCTTTGGTATTCAAACTGATAATACTCAGCAAAGCATGTGATACGGTTTCATATAATGATCTCAAAAAAAGTTTTACAAGCTCTGACTTAGCTCTTTGGTGGTTCAGGGGATACACAGTTGGCTAAAGGATAGATATTAGAGTGTGGTTGTAGATGGGGTTCATCTAGAGACCAGTCACTAGTGGTGTACCACAAGTCTCGGTACTAGGTCCTATTCTATTTAACCTGTTTGTAAGTGACATAACTGATGTTTGATGAGCAAAGGATGTATTTTTGCCTTTGACACAAAGGTATGCAATAGAGATGTTATTCGTAGAGGTGTTTGTAACATCAAACCTGGTTTACCATTGCTGGAGGAATGAAAACTGCACTTGCAGTTTTTAAATGCAAATGAATGCATTTAGAGAAAAATTATCATCTGATAAATTGCAATAATGAAGGCACAACGTTGGCCAGAACTACAGAGGAAAAAGATTTGGGGGTGCTTATTTGGGATCATTGCAAAATGAGAACAGACTTAAAGCAGTAGTGATTCCATCAAGAGTAAGTGAATTTAAAAATGTTTGGGACAAAGGTCTTTATACAAGGTAGATATTTAAAAGGTTAAAAAAAGCCCCAAAAAATCAAAACAGAGGCAACTTTGATGGCCTACATGGTCATTTTCTGCCATTTCTTGTCTGTGTTTCTATGTCTCTACCTTTAAATGGCAAGTACTATTATAAATATAAATATGCATATCCGTATTGTCTCATTTCAAGTATTTTCATTGGATGATATTTTAATTGGAATTGATGTACAAACTGTACTTATCCTCATATGTCTGAACACCAAGTTACTGTTTCAAAGTGGAGTTGCCCTTTAAGAACAATAAGCTATTTATCAGATTCCAGTCTAAACCTAGTGTCACAGTGTTTCTTGTAAATGGACTAAAGTTTGCAGCTACCATGGGTTCTCAGCAAATCACAAACTTTAGGCTAAATAATTTGTAGGTCTGCCACCAGAAATATGGAACAACTTATAATGCAGTTCATAGCATTCTTACCCTGGTCAGCTAAGTCACAAGCACTAATAATTGAGAAAATTGATAACTCTGTCCCCTTTCTATTAAAGGGTGGGCTCACAGCAAACATATAGAAGATCAAAATACAGAAGCGCACTACCAAGCAGTTGTTTGCTAGTTTACTATTGGCTATTGCAAATTGAAATAGCCAATAGTAATGTCCCAATGCTTTTCAATGGGAAAATTATTATTTATTTTTTTCTATTTTGACATCGCTCGTGTCAGAATAAGGAAAAAAAGACACATCAGTGCTTCTCTACTGGGCGGCCGGGAGCGGGAGTCTCCCAGTTACATGTCCCCATGAAAGTGCCTGGCTTTCCATGCCTTTTCTTTCACAACATCATGCTTATTAATTATACATATAGCCAAATTTGAATAGTATTTACCCCCTCCCCATTATACACTTCAATGGTGTTCACTGAAAAGTTTGGAATTTTGAGCAAGATTTGCAAAAACTGCTCATGAACCAAACCCAAGCCTATTAGCTCATCCCTAGACTTGGCATGCCTCAATGTTAGGTATTTATTGTGAAAATATGTAAATAAATATCAGAAATATAACAGCTAACAAATTATTTTGCTTTAAACAGAAAATATAACAGCAACTACAAAATCAGAGGACAGTCATTATGCAAGAACAGACTATGCAGGTAAGTGCTGTATACATTAAAATATTTACGTATATATTTTCTTGATCTTGCCATATCATGTAGTGGCTGAATAAAGAGTGTAGTTTTCTATTCTAAATTGGGGAAAGCTTGTGAAAACATACATGTTCAAAGTTATTTTATCCAATGGTCAAAATACAAAAGTTTAATAAAAAATAATTATTTTATTTTGCGGTTAGAAAAAAACCCTAATGCAATATACTGTATACACACTCATTTCTGGACCTTAAAAGCCTTTTATTAGTGAATGATCAATATAGCTTTTGTCATAATGATGGACTGGTGTCCTAAAATAAACATGAATCATTGTGTTACTGTTCTGAATATCACGATGGTTGCTTCGTGATAAAGGTTCACAATCAGTATGTGATGTTGCGAAGATACATAAGTACAATTCTATTCATTTATATTCAGATGGAGAACTATATTTGGATGTCTGGATGTCTAGATTCTAAAAGTACACATAGAATAGAATTCAGCAACGTCTTTCTGTTCAGTTAAAGAAATTCATTAGCGCACAATATAGCAGTTACTGTATGTTTTTGACATGTGAAATTACAGATTGATGTGTCATAGATTCAAGGGAACCAGACAATTCAGGTATTCTGTTTTTCCTGGATAAGCAAGTCTGATAAAACTGCAAACTAGTATATTATTTGAATTTTTAATATTCAACTGAATTAAATGTTGATTATATACTGTGTATTAGTAAATATTTCAAATATTTAATGATGCTTAGCTATTGTTGGTGTAAATTGTGACTTCAAAACAAATTATTGCATATCTTTTTCCTCCATTAAAAAGAAAACATGTATTCAACAATATTTTTTAAAGCTCAGCACTACTTTACCTAATTTGTGAATAATTCCCTAGCAGCTATAAAAATAAAAAGTAGGTTTTGTGGCTTTTTTGTTTTATGTCCAGTTGCTCTTGGTTTCCTTCATCTTATATGAGCCTTGAAGATGTCAGGTTTTGAGTAGAGCCTACAAGGACTAGAGGAGCACATAGCCAGAGAACCGATTGCAAAATGTCTGGAGCTTAGTGGCATTGGAAGCAAATACCTGTTACAATTGTAACACATGGTAGTATAAACCCGGATATAAGTCAGTTCAGTGAGTGACTGTCTGCAGAACTGATGGTTGTACTTTGAAAAGTTAGAGTGCAATGATTGCATTGTAACTGTGTCAACATGGTGACGATTACCATATATGAAACGTTTTGTAGAATTTATTTTGAAGCTGAATTCATGTGTTTTAACACAGTTTTAAAGATAGTTTGCTTTTCGTTGACTCTGAAAACCCCTTTTGCTTTCTGTGTCCCTTTGGTTGATTTGCACATGGGGTGCACGGGGATGGTTAGTATAAATGGGTCAGGGTGGACTTTAAAGAGACTGTACAGAATTTACTGAGCTGACTGCCAAGTACACATACTAGTCTTTGATTTAAAAAACTCCTTGGACTTCAACCAACTTTTTAAAATATTTAGCCTAAGAGAAGTAAGATGGGTAGATCAGTGGCTTGTTAAATAATATAAATGAATACCTTGAAGTTTGGTCGAGTTGACTTCTGTTGCAATACATTTTGGCAGGTTTTACTTGGCCCATGTGAATTAGGTCAGTTAGACTGTGTTACCTAAAGCTTTTACTCCTGCACTCCTGTAGATTAATGTACTTTAGTTTCATGCTGAGGAAACATTAGGCCACATTCCATTTTGGAACTAGGAACAGTAACTATGGCAAAATGCAAGCACAGCTGCTAATGCCTAATGCAGAGGTTGGCAAAGCCTCTGCTTAACTGGTAGGCAATGAACTGGTGTTGTCGACCTTGCACAGAAGTCCGCAATGATACACCTTGCAGACAAGATCATCAGGTATTATGTAATTCACAACATTACTATTCTGGACCAAAATTGGCTATTCATGTTATTATTTTCCTTTTTTCCCGCAGAAACAAAGGCAGCCATAAAAGCAGCAGTACATAAATAGCAATCAATTGCACATAAAAAAGCAAAAAGAAAACATAAACACAAGGAACATTAAATTTGTTATTAAACTCTAATAAACCCTCTAAATAAAGAAAAAAATGGGTAGAACTTTTTTTCAGGAAAATTTTGCCTAAGCAGCGCAGTGAACAAAATTAAGAGTTTCCGCAATTCTGTAAATTTGCTACAAAATCAATTTTCCCAAAATCACTTCACTTATTCCTTTTTAAAAATAGCTATATCATTTTATACTGGCACTGCAATATTGGTGGGACATTTTTTTTTTGTAGTAAGATAATTGCATTCAATGTTAGAGGTTATGGTAGTATTAGTTTATCCATTTGAGGATTATGAATGTAGGAGATAAATCCTAAAAAACCTCAACAAAGTTCTAAGAAGCTTCTCCTACATCCAAGCAGTTGTCAAAATGCAGCCACTCCAGTATAAAGCGACATTAGCAGACAGTCCGCAAGTGTGGTTGCTTAAATATAATCTATTGTATTGTTTTATTGTATTTACTATTTTATGAATATATTGATCAAAGGTGTAGCCTTTGATCTGCATATGACATCATTATAAAAACCTTGCAGGTTAATATTTTTGAATAAAATGTATTCATTTTTTAACCCTGTTTTAACACTAATTAAGCCTAATTAACTTTTTTTAACCATAAAATGTATAGGTTTTTTACCATTAATATTTTTTTAATTTAATTTGTTTTGTGTGTTACATTTTTCAGTGTTGCACAGAAAATAAGCAAAATGTTTTCATTTGCAAATAAATTTGCCATGGTTTGTACCAGAAACATTATGGGGTCTATTCACAAAGCTGCCGAGTGCAGCCGAGTTAATGACCGATCAGAAGTGAAGTGAGCCAAACACTGTTCGGCTATTCACTTCAGGCTGGTACGGCCAACCCGAAGTGCAGGAGGAGTTCGACTCAGCCGATCCAACATCTGGATCGGCTAAGCCGAACCTCCGGCAGGCTTCACACTGCTGTTCGGGCTATTCTGAAAGATCCCGAACAGCAGTGAGAGAATAGCCGAATGCCGCCGAGCGGCATTTGGCTCGGCTGTTCTGCTCGGTCCCTCAGAGGCACCGAGCAGAACAGAAAAAGAGTGAAAAAAGTAGAAAAAAGTTAAAAGAAAACGATTGTGCGGAGCTAGCAGTGACAGCTAGCTCCACCCAATAGTTTCCTATTGTCCGGGTGCTCTGCTGCTGTAAAAAAAAAAAATTTAAAAAGTTTAAAAAATCTCACTTCAGGCTGGTACGGCCAACCCGAAGTGCAGGAGGAGTTCGACTCAGCCGATCCAACATCTGGATCGGCTAAGCCGAACCTCCGGCAGGCTACTCGCTGCTGTTCGGTCTATTCTTATAGATGCCGAACAGCAGTGAGTGAATAGCCGAATGCCGCTGAGCGGCAGTCCCTCAGAGGGACTGAGCAGAACAGAAAAATAGTTTTAAAAGTCCAAAAAAATTAATAGAAAACGATTGTGCGGAGCTAGCAATGACAGCTAGCTCCGCCCAATAGTTTTCAATTGGCCGTCGGTTTTGCTGCCGTCCAAAAAAATGAAAAAAAAAAACTCTCCCGGGCGCTCTGTGAGTCTCCTGCTCCCGGCCGCCCAGGAGAGAAACACTAATAAAATAATTTTTTGCCCATAGGAATGCATTGCTAGATTCCTATTGGCTATTTCAATTTGCAATAACCAATAGTAAACTAGCATTGCACCCGCCCTCTGCTGCATTTCTCCATCAGGTCCATCAGCAGAGGGCAAATTGAAATAGCCAATAGGAATCTAGTAATGCATTCCTATGGGCAAATTTTTTAATTTTTTTTTTCTATTCTGACACGGCTCCGTGTCAGAATAAAGAAAAACAAAGAAAAATCAGTGTTTCTCTCCTGGGCGGCCAGGAGCGGGAGACTCTTCTGTTTGGAGATCAGTGTTCCCTGTTAGCTGGTAACCAGGGATGGTGATCTCTCTGCAAGTGACCGGAGCCAGACGTAAGATCATGGCTGGCTCCGACCATCTGTCAGAAGCAGGCAGTGGGTTAGTATGTTTTCATAATGTATAAACCAGACAGCTGAAATCTGAATGCTTAAGTGGAAACAATATTACAAAGCAAATTAATGCTGCAGATGGTAAGTATGCATCCTCTTGTATCGCATTCTACCTTTAAAGAGCCCTGTCACCTGTTGGAATAAACCCAAAATCTTACACAAATACCAGCATTCTTAAAGTCCGTATATGCAAACGATTGGGTAAGCCTTCCTTATGATAGTGCTTAGGCATGGGTGATATTGTTTATTAAAGGTATTTATATAGCGCCGACAATTTACGCAGCACTTTACATAGTTGCACATTCACATCAGTCCCTACCCTCAAGGAGCTTACAATCTAAGGTCCCTATCTCACATGCATACATAGAGGGCCAACTTAGAGAGGAGCCAATTAACCTACCAGCATGTCTTTGGAGTGTGGGAGGAAACCAGAGTACCCGAAGGAAACCCACACAAGCACAGGAAAAACATGCAAACTCCTTGCAGATAGTGATAGGTTACTCAAACACCAAATACTGCATTTTGTGAAGGGGTAGACACTATGCACATTTGCATCTTTGTCAGAAGTTTGGTTGTATAAGGAATTCCTGCAGTGCATATTGGAGGCATGCACATGGGAGGCTCTGTAAAGGGGAGATGTAGCAGGGTGCCTACTAACAATCAGCTGCATTACGTTTCTTCATAGCACCTGTTTGTGGGGTATCTTTAAACAATTTCCCTTGAACTCTGTGGCATTTTGACTTTTAATTTAAACACAAATGTGTAAACGTGTTTTTTTCTGTTTACATTTTTGTTTGATCCTCTTCATTGTTACCTGTGCACTTTCCACTATTAGCAGAGGACAGGTTCATTAACACTTAGGGGGTTATTCACTTAGCTGCCGAGTGTATAACCGAGCTGAAGTGAAGGGAGCACAAGCCTGTTCGCCTATTCAGTTCAGCCGC